TTCCCTGATGGATAGTCTTTCTCCGATTATTCGCAATACATAACTGGCATTCTTCGAGGAGATAACGTTTCCTTATAATAGCGACAGAATACGCTATTTTTCGAATTACTCTGTTTTTTAATTTTTGAACGGCAATTTCTAGCAATATGCCCTGGATTATTGCAAATGTGACAAATAATTTTTGTTTTATTGTCGAAATTGTGTTCAGAGTTTAACTTTGCCAGCAATTGATAGCGAGATGGCCAGATTTGTTACACCATTGGCAAACAACAGAATTTTTATTTAATGAAAAATTAATATTATTATTATTTCGACACATTTTAGCGTTATACCCCGGTTTTGAGCATAACTGGCAGGAAATTACATTGAATTACAGTACGTTCACAGATTGTGCGGGGCGGGAATTGTGCAACCGACACTTATCGGCGCCGTGTCCGAGTTTTTTACAAAATTGACAAACTAAAATTTCGGTTCCTCAGTAATATTTTAATTTTCGGTATTCAATGGCGATATGTCCTTCTTTATGACATGTCTGACAACTTGCTCTCGAGATCTTTTAAAGGGCTCGGGGCCGGTCGTATAGTCTGTCCTTGTCAGTCAGTCATCTGTTGCAGTTCTCTTTCTATTCTTAGAGCGTCAGCTACCCTGTTCTGTACGCCTAAATTTTTCGTTATTCTTTGTTCCTTGTTTCAGTCCTTAAATGAAGCATTTACACATGTCCTTCTCTGAGGACACTTTAATATTTTGGTTAGAAAAGCTGGTTCCCGTTTTTTGTGTGCTTCTAATATTTGTTTTCCTAAGATTTTTACTCGGCTTGTGCAGGTACTCGGTTGTGCAGTAACTAAATCTTCATTTTTCTGATAAACACAACCTAATTCTCCTTGTTTTTCGAGGGACCATAAATTTGTTTTAAGAAATTAATTAATTGGCCTACGGTATCGAAATTTTTATCTTGTACAGTACGACCCGGTTCACCGACTATTCGAGTTCTTATAATTTTCGTGAATTGCGATTCGGCTTCTGGAGGTAACACAGATTTTGCCTCTTCGCATCCTTCCATAAAATATGTTATAGGAATATTCTGGCCATCGAAAAACTGCTTTGATGGCGTATTTTAGCGTAGCTAAAAATGAGTTGTGAGTCGCCATTATTGCGTTAGACTTATTTTCGAGAATAATATTACTCAATTCGCGCGCGGCTTGAATAGTGGCGACTTCGGGGTTGCCAGAATCGCTATGTACAAAGGTTTCAGAACTATTCAAAATTCCCGATTCAGTGAATAGAGATTCTGTCGTTTCGGATTTGGATCCGGAGGATTTGATAGGAGTAGAAGTTGGTAGTATGTTTTGTGTACTTGATTTTATTTTAAATTTTCTATCGCAGTCTTGTAGAGATTTTCTACTTCTGATTTATCACCTGAATTCCTCGTATTCATTCCTACTTCCCAAGATTGCACTTTCTCATCCCAGACGAGCCCCCAATTTTTAAAATTCTGTTACGTTCAAGTTCCGTATGCATGGAGCTGAGGGGATGAACGCAATTATTATAGGAACCGAATTATTAGACAGATTTGGTCGCGTCCAGGCTCTGGACTGCAAGGGAGCCGTGGGAAAGGACCGACGCAAATCGGGAGGCACTTCGCTTCGTCCTGTGGCTCCTAACGAGCCGGAGATCGAACGGAGGATGAAGTGGAAACCTCAACTCGTGCTTCACTAAACAGACACATGAGTCGACTTTTAATTTAAAGGACTCAAACTGGGTCATAGTGCCGGAAGGGCGCACTCTAACGCCAGATGTGTTAGTGCGTCCGTATGTCCTGACTTTCGATCATGGAATTTAATCCAAGTGACAGGGGAGAGGGCGAAGTGCAACCGCGGGAGAGCTACAATAAATACAAGGAGAGGTTTCTCAAATTAACAAACGAGGATTTAAGTTAACAGTACTATAATAGAAGCAATATTTAGTGATACATTTTCCTTAGGTATAAAAATACAATTCTTTGGTTCTTTATTCTATAATGTGTTTGCGTATAGGTTTATATCGTGTGAGTGTATGTGGGTGTCTTCTAATAGAAAGGAAGAGAGAGACGGAATAAAAAAGAGAGGATCATAAGGAAGGAAGGTAGTTGGGGAAAGGGGGGCGAGAGAAAACACGGGAACGGAAAAGGAATAGTTGGTTCCTTCGATTTGGACTACGACTCGGTTGGCATCAGAGATAGGTATGAAAAGGTCGTGAAAAATTAATTTGTCAATATGGTTATTATGGAAAAGAAAGGAGACAGGATCGGAAGGAGTATAATCATTAATGATAAGATCGGTGTCTGTAGGAGGAACCGATGGATAGGGAAGTAATTTACGTAAAGGCGAAGATGTGGGGGAGGAAATCTGAGAGAAGTCTTCTGGAAGAAAATTACTTATAAGGTTCTCAGAAACGTGCAGAGAAGAAGAGTATGAAATTTCAAATTCCGGGGTGATGGCAACTCGGGATGATTTCTGGTTTGCTCAGCCGGATATTCTTCACATGTACCAATGTTAGGCGAGCGGGCACGAGCTATCGGACGGATAATCCGTGTACGGCGATGACAGGGAGGAATGTTACTATGAAAATGCATTGCAATATTTCCCCCTTTTTAATTTTCTATTACAAGAGAATTCGAATAGGTAAAGAACAATGAAATGAAATATGATAAGAGACGAGTGTGAGAAAGATGAAGGGGATAGGAGAAGGAGCGAAGTGGAGACTTACTACTGCGTTGGAGAAACTCGGTAGAGTGAAACGAAGGGGCCTTGCCGGCGGATTCTGGTGATTCTGGAGGTTGCGATCAGGTGTCCGAGCTCAATGTCCTCTAACACTGACTCTAAATCTATTAATTTAAGAAGCAAGTGTGCGAATTAAACAGAGTTTCTTCCGCACTAATTCTGAATAGTCAAGTGTTGGCCGGAAAAAGGAAAATCAGAACTTCGGACTGCTACGTCCGTCTCCCGGAGAGAAATCGAAAAAAATGGCACTGTTCCCGCGGAATCGGGCTTTTTATCTCCCTCGTACTTAATAGCGCACTGATTGGTGGATAGGTTAGTTAATTAGATGGAATCTATTTTTTGCGTTCTAATTGGTCAAGGGTGGAAGAGGACATTGACCGGAATCTATAGCGTGTGGAAGTGTTATCCTTAATTTTACGATCTTAAAATTTATGAGAAAACCGCACGCACGATCGAGGAAGCGCACATGCAGCGTTTGCATGGGACCACTAAATTCTAGCCCCTAAACGTATCGTGTCTTAGGTTTTATAATCACGGACTCATGAGAACTTGACCGTTAAAAAGTATGTTGGTGCAGATCTTACGCTTCTAATGACATATTTATTATTTTAACCGCAGTGTCCGAGGGGCACAAACTTGATGTCTTTTTGATCCTGCCTGCTTGTGCACTGATTTTTAATTTATCTCGGAGCGACGTTTACGAGGAGATACTGGATTCTTCGTTTTAATTTTTAGTGTGGGAAAAGAAAATTTTTAGTCTTCTCTAAATTATAATGCTCAACTTGTGCGTTATTCGCAGCTGTTTTTTTATTTCAACGAATTTCAGATCTTCACGAAAGAAAAAAGTTGTGGGAGTCCGCTGGACGTAACAAAGAAAAAAACGATTTTTTTCAAGAGAAGTTTTCACCCCTTCAACATGTGACGCAGCCAATTTAAAAAAATATGTATCTTTTATTTTTATCTATAAAATAACTAAATATTTAAAGCTCATCAAAATCGGGAGGGAGGAGAGGGCATTTCCGTGTGTTTCTTTGTAAATTAGTCATCAATTTACATTTTTACTGGATAAAAAAATCAACGGTTTGACGTGCTGTGTGACAGCTGGCGTTGTCATGATGAAGGATGATGCGACGATTTCGATTTATTCTAATTCATTCGCAATTCATTTATGACTTCTGGCAAATAAATTGTTGTACCAATCAATATTTACAGTCCTTCGATCCTCTAAAGCCACGATTGCCACATGTCCGGTATAACTGAAGAAATTGTTTGCTTGGTAGCACTGCGTGAACGAACAACTTTTGTTGGTTTCGGTTCATTTTGAAATACTCAAACAGTGGATTGTTGTTTACTTTCGGGCTTATACGAATAGATCCATATTTCGTCTCCAGTAACAATGTTGTAGATCAAATTTGACCTCGGTTGAATTTCTTGAGCATTTCTTTGTTCCATTTAACACGAGCCTGTTTTGAGCTTCGGTCAAAATGTGTGGAATACAATGACTGCAAAGTTTCCGTACGCTCAAGTAATCATACAAAATCATATGTATTGCTTTCATGTCAATGCCTAAGGATGCCTGAATCTCGCGATATGTCATATGCCGGTCTCGCTCAATCATTTCACGCACAATATCAACATTAGTGGCAACAATAGACATGGATAGACGACCTTCACGGAATTCGTCACAAAGAAAGGTTCACGCTGGAATTCGGCAAACCAATTATAAACAATCCTATTGGATGATGCTTCATCCCCAAAAGCCAAATGAAGTCAATCGATGCATTGTTTCGGAGTTAGATTACATTTGTAATCGTAAAAAATTCATCATTGCCCGAAAATTTTCACGCAAAATTTCCATTTTCTCACAAAATAACTTCTTTTAAAATACTATGCAAATAAAACTAGTTAGCTTAGGTACAAACTGTCAACTGAATTATAGATTAAAAACGTCTAATTTTACGGATATGATAATAGCAGAACGTTGGCGCCACTGAAAGTATTAGATGAAACTTTTCCAGCAGCCTACGTAGTGCTTCGATTGTCATACGCTGTGCAGATCTTTTCAATAGAAGTATGAGATGTGTATTTTGTAACTTCTTTGTCAATTTTCTTTTCAAAGGTTTTGTCCACCTACATTCGGGATTCATCCCACTATGCAATGTATGCAAAAGAAGGAAAAGGGCACGGTATGCGCGGTCGATCATTGTAAAAACGAATTTGCAAAAATAAAGAGAACTTGTATCAAAGAGATTATATCAATAACGATAATTTATATCTTTATTACATTACAATTGTATAATTCTTTCTTCCTCCTTCCTCTCTTTCTTACCATTCCTCCTTTCACCATTGGATCACAAAAAATAGGAAAACAAAAAATGAGACGTACAATTTTTTTATTTCACATATATGTTAGAATAAGGACGACAATGGAAAGACAATTAAAATATTTGAAATTGAATTTATAGAATAAAGGAAATTATAATTACTACTAGTACAGATTACTCTGATACTGTTAACAGATAAAAAAAAATATTGTATGATATCGTAATACTTTTGACATACCTACATATGGTACAAAAAAAATAGTATACTATGGAGCATATTAAGTTTAATGATTTCAATCAGAATCTGAACCGGAACTAGCATCCGATTCGTATTCTCCGACGTTGATGATAAACTTGTATTCTTGATCGCAACCAAGATAAGCATCACTCATAAAGTACAAAGTATAGGAATGCTGACCGGGTGCAGGAGCGACAAAATCCAACTTGATCTTTGCTTTCTGTTGTAACGTCAAACGTTTGATAGAGAGCAAGGAGTTGCTCTTCGGGTCGCCAATCACTACCCACCAACCTTCCTCACGTTTTTGCGGGAAAAACGGCGCGACTACCGGCCCGATTACCTCATCTTCCCGTTCCAGTTGTACAATCACATTTACCGTGCCGCCACTGTGCAATTTGTCTTTCTCCTGTACTTCATACGACATCTCAATATTAGGATATCGGTTGCAGAATTTGGCCACATCTGCCATCTGCGCATCCGTTAACTGTAATAACCGATTTCGATCGTCATCTTCAAGTTCCATGACATCAAATACAGTTTCCACGCCCTTGTCGGTGCAGCGCTTGATGGTCTCTGCTGTAAAATGCGGCAGTTGTTTCAAATAAGAATCTTTGGACCACATCGCTTGCGTCACCATCTGCGCAAGTTCCATAGCGGCAACGGCAGGTGCTAACCATCCAGAAGAACTCAAGACATCGACACAAGCTTGTATCAATCTTACGGCCTTGCTCAACACCAGTTCAGTATCCTTTTGTAATTCTGGGCCTAACTGTATCCTCGATAAATGAGCTTGCAGAAGAAGTTGCGCCTTCACATGAGGATCGGCCATTCTAGCAGCTTGTGGAGCATGAGGTAAACGTGCAGCCAAACTTCTCAGTAAATTTTCTTCTCTTTGTCGCACTGGAACGCTCTCATACTCAGCAGCCGCTGAAATAATTTCTAGCAAACCTCTGATCTTCGTCTTGTTATTAAGAGACAGACTGAACAATTCGATAGTAGCGTAATTGATATAGTAATAAGCAGCAATCATTCCAAGGTTAAGAGGCAAGGTATCCATTTCATCTTCCACGGCGACACATTTGGCTTGTTCTAAATCAGTCAACGTGCTCTCGACCAGCTCAGATAGATGATCTGAGAGGTGCCGATGTGTGACACCTTGCAGGCCATAGTAATTAGGATTTTGAGTGAGTCGTCGATACAGGAAAGTCCACGTGAGGTAATCAACCGCGTCTTGTTTGTTCTCGATCGTCTTCGTCACAATCTCCGCGTTGAAGTGATCATGCAACCGGCGATCCAAGTGACTCTCTACCGGTAATGGTTCATTCAAAAACTTCTTAAAAAAATCTTTTTTTGAGCTTTGACACAACAGTACGCATTTGGCGTCCTCATCTTCTAACGGACGATTAGCTCGCGCTACCATCTGCAGAACGTCTGTGATTGGATAATCCTCGTAGGCATGTGTCTTGCCATTATAGCACTGTGTATCCATGACTACGACAAGATGGGAGCTGATAGATAAACCCCAACAGAGATCCCTCGTGGCGACCGCAACTTGGATGGCTCCACTGTCAAATAATTGCTCAACTAAACGACGATCGTCGGCCGATAAACCCTCGTGAAGATAAGCTACACCTTGCGACAAAGTTTCCTTCAGCGTTTTGTCACTCATTCGATCGAGAAATGGTTTAATGTCAGCCTCTTCCGCGTGAAAGAATCTCGAGGGTTGACCCTCAGCCGCCGTGAATGTCAGCAAGTCGATGGCTGTTAATCTCGCTTGTCGACGAGTGGGTACAAATACGATCACCGGTTTGTGTGCAGCGTGTCGAAGAATTGCGTTATATACTGGTTTTGCCATGGCAGCTAATCTTGACGCGTTATGGGTGACATTTATACCTTGCACGTGCAATTCCAAAGGTACTGGTCGCACAGTAGGGTGAAAATTAAAGGTTGCAGCTGCCGGTGCACCCAACCACTGTGCTGCGTCTTTGGCATCAGCTAATGAGGCCGATAATGCTATTATTCTAGTAGGTTTGTCAAGCTGCGAAGAAATGTAACGTGCTCGCGAACATGCAACTTCTAGCACAGGGCCTTCTTCACCACCAATCAACTGCAATTCATCCACGATAAAGAGCTGGATGTTTTGGACATTTTTTCGTTGCTTCCATCTACGTGATAAAACGTCCCATTTATCCGCCGTGGTGATAATGATCTGTCCTTTGGCAAGTAGCTTCAAATCCGTTCCTGTTTCGCCGCTCAATAGGACAACTTTTCTTCCTAACTGTTGACCAAATTTTGCTGCCCAATCAGCATAGACCAATTCAGCTAAAGCCTCTTTGCTAACCATATATACACACCGTCCTTCTGGATTCTGCGTCAATAATCTTAGCACTGCAAATTCCGCAATGGTCGTTTTTCCTGAACCTGTGGGTGCTCCAACAAATACATTATCGTCGGAATTATAAATTGCGTTGAATACTTGCGTCTGAATTGGATTAAACTGTGGAAAAGCAGAATAGATATTCTCGAATTTAGCATTTCGCAACGCTGTTATCGGCAGCGCCTGCAAATCCAGCAATTCCGTAGGCGGAAGATTTTTTTCAGGCAATATCAGATGTCGAAAGCTTACAGGCAATTGTGTCTCCGCCCCAATCCACCGATCGGATACAACGCGCAAGAAGTATTGTGGTGGCAAAGGCTCAAAGACTGGCACAAAGAATTTAATTACATGTTCATCAGCTGCGTATTTGGCCTTCAATAAGAAATATTCGTGATGCAAAATTACCTCCGAATCTACGTCTTCGACTAAGATCCAAAACGCTTCCGACATACCGTGAACTTTCTCATCCCATTGGAAATCCGGTGTGATAGTCAGCACAACTCTTAGAGTGGAACGCGTAATCGGTTGGATATGTGTGGACAAACCTAGCTTTGGAAATTGATGGACGTATTTGTGAATGGTTTTGCCTAGTTTCGGCACGCGGATCAATTCGCCAATCTCATTGGGTCCCAGATCGTACAGCCTCTCCCATGGAAAGTTCTTCTTCTCGATCTTCTTCACAATCTCTTCCGGCATCTTACGGAATTGTCTGAGTGGCGACATTGATTGCCACATCCTGCGATCGATCATCTTACAGATAGATAGACATTTATCTGCTAATTGTGCCCACCCACGGAACAGAACTATCTCAAAGATAGCTCTCATGAGACGTGAGGCGGATTGCGTCACAAATACCATATCAGACATAAGAGCGAATCCTTCAAGTTTCAACTGCGAGATGTATGCTTGCAATAGCACATTCATCAGTTTTTGCAGCTCTAGTTTTTCTTCCTCCCTGACATTTATATTTTTGAACTCGCTCGAGAGTGAAAACACCCGGAACAATTCTATCTCGCTCAACGTGCGCTTTAGCAACTGATTATATGTAGACATCGTTTCGTGAGTGCAATAATAATGAGATGCTATTCTACCCAATTCGGTCGCCTGAAAATTGCCAGATTTGCGATCGTACTTGATTAAACCACTACGATCCAATCCGACTGCAGCTGAATGAATTAGATCAGCTCTATGGAGCTCTAATAAAGGATCTTGTTTCAATTTGTCATGACTTATCCCATATAGATTGGAACAACGAAGCATTCTAATGTAAAGATAAGTATAGCCAAGCCAGGTAACTGCATCTCTGATATTCTGAATCGTTCCTAGCACTACTTCCGCATTCAACATATCGGACATCTTACTGATTAATTGGGATTCAATGGGTAATTGCTGATTTAAAAGCGACAGATAATATTGCAGCTCGCTGTGATTTGTGATAAGGATACCTTCGCCTTTAGTATCGTACTGCGGTCGACCGGCTCGTCCTAACATTTGCAGTACGTCTAAAGCGCCCAGCTCTACCCATCTACCTTTCTCCGGGTTATACACCTGAGTACCCTTGATAATAACTGTATGAGCCGGCAAATTGACACCCCAAGCTAAAGTCGCTGTAGATACGAGAACTTGTATGTGTCTATCGGCGAAGAGATCCTCCACTAGCGTACGATCCACACGAGTCATACCGGCGTGATGAATCGCAAAACCATATGGTAGCAGATCTTTAAGCTCTTGATTTTTTACTTGCTCTGCTTCTGTTCTTAAAACCTCCATCGACGCGGAACCTTCCCTAAGAAATTGACCTAAAGTATCTTTCTCCAGGCACATGTCTCGAATAGCACGTGCTGTTTTTCCGGTTTCCTTACGTGAGTGTACAAATATTAGTACTTGATTTCTGCCAGCGTGTTCCATGGTCTTTTCATAGACGATCTCATTCATTACTTGGAAACGCTTCAATGCTTTTTTCTCAGTAACGCCAATATACTGCTGTTCTAAAGCTACAGGCCGGAAACTATTGTCAAAATAGAATAGTCCTGTCTCCGGTTTAATACGCAAAAATGCTGCAACGTCTTGGTAATTGGGTAATGTAGCCGATAAACCAACAAGACGCACATCTTCTTGAGTAGTTTCGATGTTTCGTATCGTCCTTGCGACCAATGCTTCCAGAACAGGACCTCTTTCATCATGCAATAAATGAATCTCGTCGATAATAATCAATCGTACTAATGATGTGAAAGTTTTTTCGCCACCCTTTCTTGTTATAATATCCCATTTTTCCGGGGTACATACTATAACTTGAGTAGCGGCAATTTGTTCTCGCGTTAATTGATGATCACCCGTCAATTCGGAAACAGTCAGATTATATGTTGACAATCGCTTGCGGAAATTGCCGACCATTTCTTGCACCAGCGAACGCATCGGAGCAACATAAATTACTTTGAATTCATCTGCATTGATTGTACCATCAGCGTTTATGTGTCTTCCAATTTCTCGCATCATGCACAGCAAAGCTACATTGGTTTTACCAGCTCCTGTTGGAGCACACAGGAGTAGATTCTCATCGCTCTCCAATGCTGTCTGATATAAGCGACTTTGTATACGATTTAGCGTCTTGAAACCATCAAAAGCAGGTTGCACATATTTAGGTAATTGCTCAATTGGATGCAGTTTTTCATTATCTGCAAATGGTTTCGGTTTTAAAGCAGGAACGTGAACTTCTTCATATCTGTAATCATTAAATGTTCGAATATTAATATGAGCGACAAAAGTAACGAAAATCTAAACAAAAATATTTACTTGTCTAATATTACTTACAAATTAATTTTTATAAAACATTTTGAGATCAACTATAAATATTATTTTTGATTTTTTGACAACTTTATGTAAATATAATGGATCGATCCTCCCGTTAACTCATTACTACTACCTCAGATTATAACATCAAAAACGAAAAACAATAAAAATTCAATCATATTTAAATAGAATTATTTTTCAATAAAGTAATATTTACAATCGATAAAATAAATTTATAAATTAAAAGTATCAAAAATCTTGTTTTGGGCAAAAATTAAATCATATTTGTATCTATGTAGGGGAGGGGGCAGGAGGCGAAGAACGCAGATGACTGTAAAAAAGTATGTCTTTGTTCAATCCTCAGTGCCGCTGCGGAGGGGCAGTAGTAAAGCAAGGCAGATTCTAACCTATGGGGCTAGAGGAGAGCGCGGAGCGCGGGGGATACTCGTAGGCGCGCGGGATACTCGTAACGCGGGGAAGGCGGGGAAAGGTTCCGGCGCTTACGTAAACATAGGTCCTTATTTTTGTCGTCACTCGCCGCTCTCCCCAAAAATGCATCGGTAACAAAGGCTTGCATGTTAGAGAAAGATACAGCGCACGACGGAGCGTGTAACGTGCTATGAGAAGAAAGGATGGGAGAATCAATAGAATGCAAGTTTCTTTTTTTTTTTTACGACAGTTTTTTCAATACAGTTTTTCCTAGCGCGTTGAGGCAAAGAATGGGGAGTAAAAGAAAATACATATGTAGTAATGCGAACAAAAATTTTTTATTCACATTATACTTATTGCACTGATTTTTTTTTCATTTTTTAATTATTTTTTTCGCGATCGACAATGTTCGAATGTGCTCGGTGGCTCGAACATCGCTAGCAGCGCTTTCTGGAAAAAGAGAACGAAAAATTTTTTTAACCACTATTCGCTTTTTCAGCAGAGAATAAAATGCATTAGTACTAGTCACTCTAATGCGATATCTTATGGCTTATATTTTGATGACATTGATGACGTTGATGAACAACACGCTTTTTCACCAGGCATTCCCAATATCTCGCTTTTTCCGTCGATGGTAATGAACTTGACGGACTTGGTGACAAGGGACGGTACTCCTTGCGCTCGATCAATTTTCGACGTATATTCTTTTACGCGATCTATGTCTTATCGCTCGTAACTAATATTTACGATTGAATAAAAAAAAGCTATATATACTGTTTATATATACTATTAGATCGGTGACATGTCGCCACGCGTTAATAGAAACGCTGTTTTTTGGCTACTAAACAAAAAATATAACTCTTCTGCAGTAAATGTGGAAGGCAGGATGTGCAAGTATTCGCACAAAGGAGAATACTCCAAGTCGAACGTACCCTTTTCTTTTGTCATCGATTTCTCTTTTATTACTTGAATATTCTCTCGTCTAGAAAATATTTACTTAAATTTTACGATCGATAATCTAAAAAATTAAAAGCTACACTTTGTAGTTCCTCATTTATTTTACCAACTTCCTATTGTTGATGAGAAAACGCCCTTCAACTTGCTTTTACACTTGCTTTTTTGGAAATATATAAGTCTTTATCTACACAGGATCTACATTTAGATTTTGTATTTACTGAACTGATCGTGTATAAATAAGATTTTCTCTACATAGTTTGTAACCTTTGTCATAAATTTTATAGCCGTGGATCTGGCGATTCTGACGATCTATGTGTTTGCTTATATTTCCAATATCGTTGGGAAGATTTTCTAATGGCCGTTTCTTGAATATTGTCACGCTCGCCGATTGGCGACCATTAACGCTCGAGTTTTATGTTCGCGCTTTATACTAACGACTATTTTTACCAAAATTTTTACGAAATGAAGAAATCTTGGAATCCACTGGGCATAACAAAATATATAACAGGTCATAAGTGTTCGACATCACAGTTGGTATCCTAGAAGACGAACGAATCGGTCGCTTCAGTTATTGATAATAAGAATAAGTATGGCTAACCATCGTGTGAATGTTGAGAATATAGCCAACGTAGTTGAGTATATTCGAAACGTGGATCCGGAATAGTTTGCGAATATTAAAGACGAAGTGTTCGAAGTGCTCGAAGAAATGGATTTTGAAGAAATAATGGACCAAGATTCCGACGAAGAAATGTTATTAGACGACACTAGCTATGTTAGTGATTTGAGCAAGCACGATTGCGGATTAAGCAGAGAAATTTGTGCCGTCTCCAGAACGGCCGTACTAAACACTGCATAATCCAGTGCTACTATACAACGAGTAGTGCTTTAACTGTATGTGCAGCATGCATGATCCGTTTGGTTGACATCGATGTTGTGGGAATGTATCTTGTAAGGAAGCACAATATCGGTTATATTGACGCGCTAAGCGGTCGGTCTTGCACGAATTGCAGAGTGCCAATGTATACTATATTTCCATACAACAAGTGCTCACACTGCACACATTTAAAAAAAAAATGAATGCGAAAAAAGTGTTTAAAGATTGTGATCCGCGGAGGAGAGACAAAGATGCGCGAATATCGCCGGTGCAATTCCTACGCAATCGAGAAATAGGTACACGTGGTGCGAAACAGAATCATCATCAATGACGATGATGAAAAGAAATATTGGTTCGGACAGTTAGGAGACGAAACGGTGCACATCCAACGAGGCGGTCAAAACGAGGCGGTGTGTTACTTTTTCTGCCAATATTGGGCGCGCTCGGGTCCTCGATTGGCGGAGTGGCCAGCGTGGCGAAAGCGATAAACGATAGCAAAGCCGCGCGACGTCAGCTCGAGGAGCTGCAACGTCATGACCGCGCGATGGAACAGGGCCGCGGACTATATCTCGCTCCGCACAAATATGGATGCGGACTGTATCTCAGCCCATATAAACGCGGATAGGGTGTAGCAGCGAAGAAAAAAAAACACCAAAGAGATAAAAATGTCCTCGGGTGCAACTACCAATGTGCAATTGGACGTGCTCGCGAGACGTATGCGCGAGACGTATGCGCGTTAGGGGTGTTTTCATGCATAACAACGCTTTATCGACGAGCGGCGCGCGCCGAAAGCGATATCGTGAATCTGGACGATGCGATGGGGCCTGATACTTACTGGGTAGTGTACGCAAAGAGGAACAACCGCGTCGTATACTTTGACAGTTTCGGTAATCTTCGACCTCCCAAGGAATTGGTACGATATTTCGGGAACGGTGCTACAACGATACATCCTGTCGTACGACCAGAGTTTCTGCGAACAGATGTGTCTGCGGTTTCTACAAACGATAGAAACGTGCGTGAATTTAAAAAGCTCGACGAGGTGCTGTGAAATCTCAGTATTAGTCGAACGCTTTTTTCATCATGTCGCTGACACTTACGCTGAGCGGGAAGAGCACCGTTCTCGCGGTGAACTACTTTTCCTCCATAGATTTCCCTCCATAGTGATTACGATCTCAGTCTGGCGATTTTTGCGACTTATCACACGATACTGAATGTAAACGAATCGAACGATAAACAAATTTTATTTTGGCAAAGACAACGCAGAAATTACAATTTCCGAGGGTTCGTACGAAGTGCGAGACATAAATGAATTTTTGAAACGTATGATTTTACGGAAACGTCCGCACTGCGATGCACTTGAAACCGTTGACATAGTGCGTGGTGACAATAACAACAATAACAACAACAACAATGACACTGATGACGACAATGGTGAGAGTGGAGAATACCCGATTACGCTCCACGCAAATTACAACACGATGAGATGCGAGATTAGATATGTATACAGAATAAACTTTGGCAAGCCAACAGCATTTGATCGCTGCTGGGATTTTCGTCGAAGCGTATAATGCGACCGCGAAGATGGCACGAATCGAACATGTTGATCAACATAATGAACGTAAACATTATTCGCGTAGAGTGTAACGTGACCGCGAGCGCGTACAGCAACGGCAAAAGCGCGCACACGAATCGATTTCGCCGAGCGTGCCACCAGGATATAAGATATCAGAGAGGCCGGCACAGATCATTTACCTGCCGATTACGGCACGGAGCATTACGGATCTAACGATATGCGTCGTCGATCAGAACGGATAATTGCTCGATTTTCGCGGAGAGAAGATCACCGTCAGATTGCACGTACGACAGCGACAGCGAACGTGAGATACTTATTGAACTGCATCAGTAAGAAGAAGCTCAGCGCGTCGAACGCTAAATTTTTACAATCTTTGGGATTCGCGGTGCGCAACTTTTGAGATGATTGATATTTTGAATATTACCGATGAACCGATCTTTGACGATCGAAGAAAATACGTAATAAAACGAAAGACGTAATAAAACGTGTCGCGACATTCGAAATTCATGGAAAGAGGGGGAGGACCTGCCTTCTCTCACCGATTGCAGAAGTATTACCATATACGTCACAATTTACGCGGATGCAATCAGTCTTACGATACCCGCTTGTACGAAAAAATGTACTTCGCTAAAGAAAGTGCATCGATGTGAAGAAGGAATATAACGTGTAAGTTTCAACGTTCTATACACAAAATAAACATTTTTTAACATTATGTGTATGTACACAATACGGAGCATCGTGCGGTGCGTTTATTGAGCAGATCGTTACGATCTAACGAATACGGGCTACAAATTTTTGGAAATTGAAATAAACATTGGCTCACCGAGTTACGTGGAGATCGCCCTTGGAGATCATCGCGGACACGAACTATCGCTGTCTCTCGAAACGTGGAAGAGCCGCTACGAGCAGCGATGGAATATTTATAAGATGTTTCGAAACGAATACAAGGATAATTTTATAAGCGTTGGACCGCTAATCAGCGTTTGCATGCTGAATGATGTTACGCTCGTACGTCTCGATTCTTCATCCATATGCATTACGATGACCGAAACGATGCTACGCCGTATGTCCGACTTTGACGGGTGTATCTATGTAACGT